TTTTGGTATCGCGGACTATCCGACGCCTAGTAGAATGGATGAAGTGAGACATACTACACATTTCTCAAATAGTAACCGCATTTTCGTACATCAGATTTGTTTGACCATATCTTGTAATTGAAGAATGAATGTTCCATGAACTCCAGCCTTGGAATCTTCAACTGGCTGTAAAATCTGAGGGATTCTGTCTGCCGTCTCTGCTATAGCTGCCAAGAAGAAGAAACAGAGCAAGCCGCTGAGCTTCAAGGTTGGAATGGGCCGTGTCATCAGAGGGGTATGGATGGAGCCCTGTCTTCCTGAGTGGCGGTTTACCAGTGATCTAACCATGTTACATGATGTATCTTTCTTGATTCTCTGCTTGTGTATGCCTATGATGTATTTATCTTTCGTACAGTGGGATGAAGCACTCCTGACGATGAGCAAAGGGGAGACGGCTAAGATTGAGATAGAACCAGAGTGGGCCTATGGGAAGAAGGGCCAGCCGGACTCAAAGTATCCTCTAGCAGTCTTACAAATCGCCCCGTAATCTTCAAAAGTACAAAACGTGTCGCGTCTCCAATTAGCCTGTTGCCTTTGAGCATTGCAGTTTCACACAATCAGGAATCGTGACGGTTGGGCCTTCTAGTGTCCCAGCTGTTACAAAGTAGTCTTCCAGAAGCTCTGTGAGTTTTACAATCTTTGCAAAGGTTTAACTTTTCGTATTATCACTGTAGATAAGATTGGTCAGATAGCACTTCCCTGATCTGCACTTTTATATTGGGTTGTGGGAGTAGTGTAGGCCTCTATCAGGACTGGTAACATATACTGTAGATTTGCTCAAGCTTGTGTGTATGGTACAGATTTAAAACACACCAGTAATATGAAACCGTCAGCAGTGTCTTTACCTTAACCTGCATTTTTTTAAATCAGAATTCCACCAAATGCAAAGCTGATCTTCGAGGTGGAGCTTGTGTCCATTGAGTAAAGAGCAGAACCCAGGGAAAGAAGTGACCATGCAGTGAACAAGAACTCAGTGCTGCACATCTGGGTCCATCTTTGTTTGGGCCACAGCGTTAAGACAAGTGCAAAAAAAAGCTTTACACAGTTTTCACAGCATTATACAAGCTTGCATGGTTGTTCTTATGCCTGTCCAATCCAGGCGAAGCTCTAATATGTTTTTTCCCTCTATGGTCCCTGGACTTTTCCCCACATCAGATAAATGCAAATAAAGTTTGGTAAATTAAGTACCAAATAGAATGTGATGCAGTTAAGGTATTACAAAGTGGTCAGTATGCAAGGAGTACATACCTGCATCTGGTAGATCATGGGTTCAGATCCTATGGTCAGAAGAGTCTCATCGCCATTGGGCACTTGGACAAGGCCCATAATGCCGACTAAGGAATGCAGGCTGATTCTCACTTGTCTTTATATGAAACATGGAGGATTTAAAGTGATGAAACTGTGTTGATTTTAGTATAACCTAATGATGAAATGTTTGAAAACACATTTGTGCAATATTATTGTGCAACAATAACCCATTTAACAGTGGGAACCAATAATTTAAGAATTAAGGCAATATTTTCACCTCCTGACACTGGAGTTGAGCCTTTTGCCTCCTATCACAAGGACTTCATTCATGTCTTTGGCATTTTGATATTTCCACTTTATTTGAATGTTTATCAGAAGCACATGAGCAGAAATGATTCCATGTAAGTTTCCCATTCAGCACGCCTGTGTCATGACAGTAAGCGGGAAGAACAGAATGGCTTTTCCTCTCCATAGGGGAGCGGATCACTCCTTCCAGACAGCGTATCCAGTCCCGCTCACATGCCCCCTGACTCCACGCTGAAAGGGCGGCTCTTTATGAGTTGGCATTCGGACCTTTCTTCTTTCCGAATGTGGGCACCACGTTGACAAAGCGGCGGTTGTACTGGATGCGGCGCTTGGCCCGGCCCGTTTTCTTTTTCTTCTTTTCCTGTTTGTCAACCTGGAGTAGAAGAAAGTTAGCAGCTCAGAGCTGAGGCTAGATGCAGCACCACACACGCATAGCCTTGGTTTAAAGGCACACAAAAGCAGATCAAGTCCCACTGTCCACTTACCTTGGGAGTCTGTCCGCGGACCTTACCGGCACGAGCCAGGGAGCCGTGAACCTTTCCTGTGAGGTCAAGGCGACGGGTTAGTTAAGTCACTGGGGGGGATTGTGAGATCAAACTGAATTTGCTCATGTTCACAAGAACATTAAAAGTACATCAACATGTGACATTGCTCCCTGCTGGAGACTGACTGAATTCTACTGTGATGTAGACAAAACCTGGAAATGATCAGACCATGAAAAAAAAAAAAAAAAAAAGTTTTATATAAATCAGAATCAGTACTCATTAAGAGAATCATTCTAATCAATTTGTAATCAGAATCAGTGTTCCAGAGCCAACCAAAATGTTGAAAATTACATCTATTGTGATTCTAACTGGGATTCACAATTGGGTATTACACTAGAAAAGTACAGAACCATGTGCCATCTAGAATAATCCAACCCAATGGGTCGACTGATAACACAGAGACGAAGCAAGGCCACTGTGGGACACTAACCTCCAAGCATCCTGGCCAGCACCTCCAGGGTGCAGTGCTCTGACACGCCACACTGGCCCAGGCTGGCTGCATCATCCAAGGGGGAACCAGCCAACAGCAGCACCTGCTCCTCAACAGGCACGCCTTCTAGGAGCTGCACCTGGAGCTGAAGGGCAGCACAAGACAGCACTGAACTGGCAGGCGGCAGCAGAACACGCACACCGCCATCCAGCCCCCACCGGCATCACCGTTTATGAGGCTCTCATTTCTGATTGGGTTAATTCAATCCAACTTCCCAGTTGACTGATTGCTGCAAACAAAATTTGTTAAGAACTGGCCAAAATCCTATCATTTTACGAGGAAAGCAACGAGCACAAGTGAGCAAAATAGTGGTTTCCAAGGACTGAGTAAAGATTTGGACATAAAATGTGGGTTTAATCTAAAATTAATGACACTCTCTGTTCATTATACAATTGCATGCAAAAAAGCAAACAAACATTCAGAGTTCAGGAGAGCCTACGGAAGATACAACAGTTGACGCTATGGGAACATCACAAGAGCTTAGAAGCCTCACCTTAATGTCTCTGACAGTCTCAGTGCCCGTCACCTCCAAGGCGTGGGTGTTCTGCGCCCGCAAAAACAGCTGCATGGTCACCTGCATGAAACATTTACATTTAATAGAGGCTTCTGTCCAAATTGACATACAACAGAGGATCAGAGAGCACGGTCAGCCACCGTCCATGGAATATTACGGCTTGTGCGATTTGCTCACGGACCCAACGGCACAATGGTTACTCCGGTGGACACAGAATTTGAAAGACCTTCCCGACATCATCCCATATACTCGCAGATAAGAGCTTCAACTGAGAATATGTAAAAGCTATGCGATCGTAAGTTGACAATATATTTTATTGATCTTTCTAGTGCTCCAGGATGCAGTTCCCATTTAATTCAACTAGACTCATTTGAAATTTCCAATTATTTACCAAACGATATCACATTTCACTGTAAAATTTATTCTTAAGTGGCTACAAACATTGTTAAACGCTACTGACGGTATTAGTACAGTGAGATATCAGCGAAAATAGAAAATGCAAAACGCGTGACACTAGTCGTTTATATATACATATATATAAAACATAAACAACAAGGCAGATTTCTGCTCTTTACGATAAAATGAAAAAAGAGCGATCATTTAATTAGCATTAGGAAACTACAGACTGGGTGACCTGCGTTACTCGCCATGGTAGAAACACGCATTTAGGCCTCTTCGATATTATTTTTAAAAGAACACTAAATAAACACCTCGTCTTTTCGAAAACAATTTCAGGTCAACGAAGCATTAGCCTCAAACGAGCCGGAGTCTGTCTTACCTTCTAAACAAGTCAGTACATACAGGAACTAAAGAGAATCTCTTCACTTTTTATATCTCCCCCTGCGTACCCTCGCCACACTACGCGACGAAAAGGACCAGCGGCTCAAAGCGTGCGCACAAGTGACCCTCAAAGCATGATGGGAAAAGTGACGTCAGCTTGTAGGCCTTAAGTCTTCTGGGCTTCTCACGGTTGCGTGGTACCTGCGTTAAACGATCAAAATCGGGGGTGCGTTTCCCAAAAGCTCCCTATAATTACATAATTGGGCCCATTCAGATGCAGTTCCAACATTGTTAATTGATAAGGTAGTGAGCAGCTATGCTTTTCGGAAACGCACCCGGATGTTTACATTTAGGCGTCCTCTCCTAGCAATGAGCTGTTGTCAATCTACTTCCAGATCAAATTCCTTGAATTTTGTATAATTCTTTTGCATTATAATCTTTCAGAAGCCTGCTTTGAAGTTTGATAAATGTACCACTGTATGTGCATGGTTGTGTTATACCTCAGTGTTTTACACTGTAGCCTCCAACCTCTAGGACTGTAAATTAGCATATTATATCCATATTTACACCCCTACACCACACATAAAAAAAATGTCTTTCTAAATAGGCAACATGCACATACCTTGTAATTATCCGGCATGACATTGAAGGACCCCAGCCTGATGACCTTAACCTGCTGGGGTCAAACCCAGCCTCTCCACAGTGCCATCGCTTACCTACTGCAGTGCATAGTACTGAACAGTGCAGCAGCTCATTTAAAGATGTCAAATTTAATGCTGTTTTCCCCCCTTAGCTTTTATCTTGCCCAGTTTTTCCACTAGTTATTGTTCAACAGGGTGGGGCTGCCACCCCCTACTGCCATGGGGCCAGCAGTTTGCCCACACTAGTAACTGTTGGCCATTGGATCTGATATTATCATTGCGATAGTCACATGACCTTTCACCACATGCAGATTCATTTAATTTCCTCCATTCCATCTGGGTGCTTAGCTTTTGCCACGGAGTATATTTTCACTCACAAACAACCAATTTGAGTATCCCACCATATTATGCACAGAGTATATTTAAAAACACAGGACTCCTAAGACGTATGGTTTATTATATGTTGGTTTTCACAGCCACGTTACATTCATTTTGCTTCATTGCAAACTCATGTGTACAAGGAATATACTAAAAGAAAAGCACTTCAAGCTCATGTCTACTCCGACCCCACCCCACCCCAAAACCCAAATCATTTTGAATACAGGTCTTATTCTGATGACACATCACATTGGTGGAGGGGTGTAGTACTGGCCATAGGCCCACGAGTTCTGGTAGCTGTAATTCTAAGAGAAGAGAGGAAGGTGTTATGTACAAGGAAAAAAAAAGACCATTAAACTCTCACTCAAAATAGCAGACATGAGACACTGGAGACTGAGCATCCAGGTCGGCTGCGGGACTCGCCTGATACCAGCTGTAGCTGTATGACGCTTGGCTCGCCTGCATATCGGCACTCATATGGCTGAAGTTCATACTCACATCTTCTGTGCACCGTCTCTTTACCTCCGGCTCCTGGGAACTGCATAATGAATCCAGTACAGTCCAGACTTAAGGGAAGGTCAAATAAACCTTCAAGACTAGGACTGACCACTCAAATGGTCAAGTTTGTATGACATCGCTGTTCCTTACTCATTTTCAGTCTCTCTCTTAGAGGACTCGTGTATTTTCAAGAGCTTCTGATGTTCCTCATACGAAGACATAAGCCTAAGAAATAGTGAAAGAACAGATCAGGAAAATCAGATGGAAAACAAATGCATATGGGTTCTCCACTGAGGGAGAGAGACGTACATGTTGATATCACTTCCAAAGTCCTCTAGAAACTCCATCTTGCGCTGGGAAAAGGCGAGACGAGATTCTAGGGGCAGAGGGCTTCTCAGGGCCCTATCAAAGCAGGCCACAATCTGGTCTTCATTCTCCTGCACATCCCCACTGTACTCCAGCTCCAGAAGGTTTAGGTACAATTTTGGACTCATCTGGGATACATACAAAGAACAAATCTCAAGTGTACTTTTGCAATAAAGACTGCAAATACTAATTTTGGATACTTTCCTGAAACTAAATATTATATGAACCCCTTTTAACACGTTATACATTACTTGACCAAAATTGCAGCATGACGAACATGTAAATGTAGCTTGGAAATGCAAGCATTTTTTATTTCAGCTCACTTCATCCACTTTAATGGCATCCAGCAGCACATTTCTGGCCTTCAGCAGATCGCGCTGCGTTTTGAAGAAAAGTCTCGCCAACTTAAGGGAGTAAAATGCGGCCTCACTGGGCGTTTTCCCATTTTTAATAGCTTCCTGCAGTAGAGACTCTGCCTTCTCCATGTTGCCCCGGCGACGCTCCAGGTTGACACGCCTCAGTCTCACCACAGCCAGGTGGGGCAGCAGATCTTCCAGGGTTCTCAGGATCCTCCTGGCTTCTTCCACATTACCTTGGAATCGTCAACCACTTTAAGATGATCGTTTACATTGAACTGCAACTGCAGCTTGATGAGATCTTCCAATGTTCTAGTGTCAGACTAGTTTTTGTACAACTATCAAAAGCAAGCAACAGTTTAACTTACCCTGCTGTTCCTCAAACATTGCCCACAGCAAATGAATAGAGGGCTTTTTGGGCAGATGTGTCAAACAAGCCTTCGTATAAACATCACGTGCCCCATCGATGCTGTAGTTCATCATAAACCTAGCATACTTCAAAAGGGAGAGAGTGACAGAAGGGAGGGGGGATAAATTGCCACCATGAGGCACATTCTGGTTGTCCCACAATGATACTGACATGAACACGGAATTCTCAGACCCGTCAGCACCTTCATGGAACCATTAAGATTAGTTTCTGTAAGGTAGGATGGAGAGATGCAACGTAGCTTTCAAATTCAGCAGTCAAATCTGGTGGCAAGGAGGCCATCCCCTAACACAACAGAGCCATATATCATCATAAGGTATTTGGGCAGGAAGGAATCTGAATTTTCCTAAGGAAGGCAAAGCCAGAAAAGACTGATACCTTGATCCAGAACTCTTCATAGAGAGCGCAAGCCACCAGGCATCTCTCAAAGAGCATCACCACTCGCTCAAGGGACCCATTCTCCATCTCAAAGTCCAAGTACTCTCTCCATATAGCCAGCTGAGCTCGTTCGAGGGGTTTCACGTGGAAGTAAGGCCGCTTGATCTGGCCAGAAGAGAAGAGATTTTAGAACGCCAGGAAGAATCATTTGCGAATTTAGGCAAACTGAAGTGAAAAAAGTCACACTGAAGCAAAACTGATGCTGCCCCTCAGAATACAGGCAGAATCTTTAACTGGCTCCACAGACTTACCCCATCCTCAAATGTCCAGCGTTTGCTAACCTCATTCTCATTGTGATTAAAGATTTCTTGTCGCAACTCAAGTACTCTATGGCGCATATTCTCGATCTCAGTCACACGCTGCACAGAAAGACATTTGAATTGAGATCTTACTTTAACCTAGGAACAGAAACAGTGCACCTCCATCAGACGTTGTTCAGGTACAGTTCTCACCTTGGCAGGGTCGGCCAAGTCCTCAGTTCCCAAAGGGAGATCTTCACTGGGGGTAACCTCCTCCCCACTCAATTTGTCCACAGAAGCCAGTTCCTTCCGGAGCTTTGAAAATTCCTCCAGTGACAGAAAATGTTTTGGCAGGTTGTTCTGCACATGCTCCTTAAACCTAGAGCAGCAAGAACACACTTAGGGAGCCATGTTTATTCCACCCTGTAGTATGTATGAATTTTAATTATGTAGACTACAGAAAGTAAACCCCATTGTGCAGGCATTCCATATTTAAAACAGCCAAAATCCTAAGAATCTGTCACATTGAAAAATGGAGATATATCCCCAATGTCGCAGTAAAAACTCCCTGACCTTGATAGAGACACTCATAATACATTTAACCATGAGCACATGTCTGCTTCACCTCTGATGGTGTTGGCTGTACAGTTGGGTGGGAATGGCCAGGACACGGTCATAAAGAGCTGTAACGGCAGCCAGGTTGCCCACCTCCGTCTCCCAGGCAATGTAGGCTTCCCAGAGACGGTCAGAGCGGAAATCCAGGCCCGCAGAGAACACTGCGTGCTCAAACACACTGCAAAGTCATCAGTAAAGGCAGACTACAGGCAAGATCTACACACCTCACCCACTGACAGAATTTAATGTACATGCAAGTTAGACACAAAAGTCTATTACATGTGAGAAGGCTCACAAGTGAAACAGAGGGCCGGGCTAAGCGTACACTCACAGTCGCACACGGCTCTCAGCCTCAGCACCATCAGCAACCTCCCGCACAAAGTCAACGTAGTGCAGCCACAGGTCCACACTGACCGGGATGGCTTGTAAACCACGGCGATACACCTACAAGGAGAAAGGGCACCGTGCATGTCACCAGGGGCAGTGGGGAACAAGTACGGAAACTGAGGATGACACATTTAACTTAATTTGTGATCAGAAAATATGGTCACAAAAGACGACGTACGGGAATTAGCCGAACATTTTGACTACAGGAAAGCTGTAATAGGATGAACCAGAATATGTGCATGGGAAGGCTTCATATTCCTTGCAAATCTAAAGTGGCACACCATGCAGGAGGAGGCCTGCTCTACACGAGGAGATTGACTCTGGAATCAATGCCCTCAAAAAAGCAGCAGATCCTGAAGTGTTCCAGCTCCAGGAGGCCTGCTGGAGGAAAAGTTCCTCCGCAGGTCCTGCAGGTACCTCATCCGCCATCTGTATCCCACTCAGCCTCTTCTCCGTGTCAGCATACTTCTTCCAGTAACCATAGCAGAAAGGGTACTGGGAGAAAAAGGAGTCAAAAGCCTTGCGGGCAGCACCTATGTGATTCTGAGACAGCAGCAGGAATAGTAAGTTTATGAGCTACATGGACATAGCATGTTACAGCCCCAGATACAAAAACCACACCTCCTCCTCCACATGCTGAAGTAAGTAGGTCCAGCCATTGAAATCTTCAGGGTTCTCCTCTACTGCTCTGAAGAACCTTTCAGACTCCTCAGGGAAAGGAACCTCCTCAGTTATTCCAACCTTGGATGAGTCTTCCAGCTCCATGTTGGTCGGGCTTCCTGGTACTGATCCCACAGTTAAATGTGCACCACACCCTGAAGATTCTGCTGGCATGATGGCTTCCTGCCCTGGCGGTGCACACTCTTCCATGTGGCCACATTCTAAAGCCTCCGGCTGCTCCTCTGTGTGGGACGGCTGCATGGACCCCGAATGCTCATCCTCCTGGGACGGCTGCACTGAATGCGGCTGCATGGACCCGGAATGCTCATCCTCCTGGGACGGCTGCACTGAATGCGGCTGCATGGACCCCGGCTGCTCTAACAGTTGTAAGGGCTCCTCTTCAATCAGTTCCGAAGTTACCAAATGTTCCACCTGATCAAATCCCAAAATCTCCAAGCCTTCTACATGACCCAGCTCCAAGCGTTCCAGCTGCCCTACCTGATCCAGTTTGGGGGACCGTGGCATTTTGATGGCATCAGGGCACAGGAGTTCAGCCTGTAACAGACTGGGCTCATCATCTGGTATAGTGCTGACAGTTACAACAAATGGATCAGAAGCCATCTGCAGACTTTCAATCCACAAGGTATCTTGAGTGGGGGGATCAGTGGGAAAACCATCAGCCAAGTCCAGAGAGCCACAGCTCCTGCTTGGGTCAAAGCTCAGCATGCTTGTCAAGGTTTCCTCCAGGGGGGGTTTGTCTGGAGAGGGAAAATGCCACAGGCCCTGTATCACCAACATTATAGTATCTTCATGCACTAAAGCCTGCACTATAAATACATGTCATTAAGGAAAGAAAGGTGGTGTTGATGGACATGCATTAAAGTAGCCCTTTTTTTTAAACAATTTAAAGTATAATTCAAAAGCTCCTAAAACTGTCTACAAAATAGGCCTACCCTCAAAGTCGTACCAATTAATATTGGAACTGCGGTCTTTATTGAATTGTTAGATTATGTAACCGTGACGTGCTTACATTTAAGCGCTGGTAGTTTCAGACGCAGTATAAGAAATTATCCGATTACTTCCAAAACGCATAATAAACCGCCTCACCAATATCATACATACAACTAAATTACCCGATGCGGCTACTCAGGAATCACATTTAAATTACAGCATGATGTATCATTTTTCATTAAACTTACCAAAACCTTCCATCTAAATTTATTTTGACTACAATAAGCACGGTAGTCAAAATCTAATTAAGTGCAATCTAACACACGAAACACCGACATTCATTTAATTCCCAACAACTCGCCAAAGGGCGTAAGTTTGTACGCTTGCGCTATATTACCTATGAAGCAGAGGGCGGCTCTGAGAGCACGGATGGTTTGCAATGAGTGACGTTGCTATGGTTAAAAAGCACTTATTTTAATTATCATAAAAGACTGGAATTAAGACTGGTTGCAAAATATAAAATTTGACTTGCATTATTCTATTCTAATAAAACTTATTTCCACCATTCTACATTTTTTTCAGCTCAAACGGTAAGGACGATTAAACGTTATATATTATGACTTGAAAGAGATTAAAATAGATCTCAGAAAGGATACAAACAAGATGGAAGAGTCCGTCACCTGCGAGCGGCAATCCTAATCTATTTTTTTCTATTGAAAAGCTCATCTGCCAGATTTTGTTCCAAGGGATCAGCAATCAGCTACAACAGGTGCAGAAGTTCGTTTATGTCGCTATACGTCTGAGTCAGTTGTATTTTTTAAATTATATATTATTTGATAATTTGTAGCAGATTATTTTCAGTTCATCTGTTAAAAATGGGGCTTTTCTGAAATCAGTCAGAATATAGGTATCATCGTCTGCTGTGCTTATAACAGACCGCAATGCATTAGCGCATTCCGGATGCTTAAAATCAGAAAGCCGTTATTCCAATCTAATGTCGCTATTTTACAAATGTATTTTTCAGAAATTATTGGTGTTAAAACATTTTAAGAGAGAAAATTCTACAGATCTATGATTTTCAAACATTAAATGTGCAACTGAAATGGCATCATCAATCTTTAAAACCGGAACATTATCTGATTGTCATTGCACTTGACAGGTTGGGAGGAGTCATTATGTTGTCTGATCATCTCTGATGGCAGCAGGCAGGAAGGACGCCCAGTAGGGTGGAATGAGCCGGTGGCTAAATGTGCTCCAGGACAGCGCCCCCTGAAGCAGAGAGGCAGAATTGTTCATAATATTGTGAGTTTGTTCAGGGTCAGTCCTGTGATGGAGTTGCATGGCCTTCTGGATGGGTTTGTTCAGGGTCAGTGCTGTGACGGAGCTGGCCTTCTGGATGAATTTGAGGCATTTGGTATTAAACAATCGTGTACATACCTGATAATACAGACATTATATTCCCCTCTTTTTGTGTGGGCTTTAGGGGGAGTGATATGTTTTCATATTTACTATTAAACAGTAAATTGAAGTTTAATTTTACATCACCTAGGATATATTAACTGTGCTATGGGCCTTTATGCAGTGGGCAGGGGTAACATTACAGATTCACATTTATTTTACTGGAAATTAGACAATCCAAGAAAATCAGTTTTTGGAAAAAATGAGTAGGCCTAATATTAATATAAAATAGAGAGAAGGAAAATTAATCATAAAGTTCAGTTATCAGTCAAGTTCAAGGCTGTATATGCATCCAGTGTCTTAACAGCTTTCTTGTTTTTTAATCCATGCAAGGTTTGGAAATAAATTTTTAAAGTCCTGGATCCTTGGTTACTTCTTTGCCCATTTACATCTATGAATAAAATATTTTCCTTGTAAAATAAAAATGCTCAATATGCATATCCTTTTACTTTCAACATCAGTCTTTCCATACACGAAAATAATATCCTTTTCCAATTTCATTTTTACTGTAAAACTCATTAAATAAATGTTCAACTTCCAACCAAAGAAAATGGTTAATGTGCAGTCAACAACAAAGAGTTTCTGGGGGCCAAAGGTACTTCCTGTTCCAAATCGCATTCCATAGCTTTATGTGCCATAATTGCGCTGTAACTGCGCGGTAACCGCACCCCTACGGCGACCCGTGGTTTTATCTGGCTAGGCTCTACAGCGCGCAAAGAGGGCGGAGTTTGACTTCCCGTTTCAGCCCGATGATCAGTGAGCATGCGCACATGCTGATGCCATAGAGAGGCGCCTGTGTGCGCGCATGCTGACTGGATGACTACTGCGTGAACTGCGAGAGGAAGTGGCGGCCGATAGAGGTCCGCACCTTTTCCGGTACATAGGAGAGCCGCTGTGCGACCGAGAGCAGCGAGAGAGGCGGGGAGGATCCACCGGGGCGGTGCGGGGGTTGCTGCAGTTGCAGGTATCAGGAAAAAAATCCGTATTTGAGATCGTGAAAATAAGTAATGCGCGCTGAAAATTGTGATTATGAGTATATTATGTTGACGGAAGGACAAAATAGATCTTTTTAAAGTTGTTCTTTACCTCCCCCTCCCTTTTCTGAACCGCTCTAATGTTACAGGGAGAAGAGAAGAGGTATCTCTCGGATGAATCAATGACATTTGGAGTTACTGCGGTCCAGGTGGTTCTGTTCCCAGCGGCGGTGCTGTTATTTCATCTTTGAAGCTTTATCGGGGAGCATCTGGAAATTGCAGGGCTTGGCAGCTATTTGCAGATCGGAATAAAGCCGAAAGGAGGACCTCGCCAGACCAGGAGGAAGTCAGAACTGCTGTAGGCTTCGAGGGCCTAATCCAGACATCTCATCTTTTGAATCTTATCAGCTATTTCTTTTTGTGATATCGATTTTAACGTTCCCTACGTCATCGGAGAGATTCACGAAGTTGAGTTACTGTATTTTAATGTTGGAGACAACTGGCATTATTCGAAAAGTCAAATATAAAGCAATGCATGTGTTCCGGCGCTCGCTGTAGGTGTGGGTCTGAAAAGTTCCCGCACGCAGCGCTGTCCGGGCTTTCGGTTCGCGGAATCCTTCGCATGTCAGGCTGCTGCTGCCATCATGACTTTACGCTGAAGTCAAAACAAAGGAAAACTGACGCAGATCGGTACCGCCAGTGCACAGTGTCTGTCGGTTTTTGATCTTTTTAAGCCTCTTCGAAGAACTTTAAGTGAAGACACCAGTCTGTAATATTCTGAATACCTCTGTTAATGCTTAAATACCGCGCCATCACCAGAAAGTGTTCTAGAAGTGCCGTATATAATTAACCCCTCCTGGTTTACAGACTTCTTGCTGGTCGTTAAGACGAAAACGTTTAACACTTTAATTATATATTTTTTTTTAAATCGCCAGAGGCGCGTAGCGACCACAAGTAATTTCCCTGGATATTTATGCAAAATTTACAAAATGGGGAAAATGCTTTCCAAGATATTTGGCAATAAGGAGATGAGGATATTAATGCTGGGACTGGATGCAGCAGGAAAGACTACTATCCTTTACAAACTGAAGCTGGGCCAGTCCGTTACAACCATTCCCACTGTCGGTTTCAATGTGGAGACCGTCACCTACAAGAACGTGAAATTCAACGTGTGGGATGTCGGCGGCCAGGACAAAATCCGGCCCCTGTGGCGGCACTACTACACGGGGACGCAGGGGCTAATCTTCGTGGTGGATTGCGCCGATAGAGATCGGATAGACGAGGCCAGACAGGAGCTGCACCGCATCATTAATGACCGGGAGATGAGGGACGCCATCATCTTGATTTTTGCCAATAAGCAAGACCTGCCCGATGCCATGAAGCCGCACGAGATACAAGAGAAACTGGGTTTAACCCGCATCAGAGATAGAAATTGGTACGTGCAGCCCTCCTGTGCGACGACGGGTGACGGACTGTACGAGGGGCTAACTTGGCTAACATCAAATTATAAATCTTAATCGCTGTGACTGTTGCAAAAATGAGAAGTTGACGCAGTCAGTTAATAAATAACATGACTTCTCAGAAGAATAAAGTTGATTCTCTTATTTTTCTTTATAATGAACATCAGCATTTATTTTATTATTTTTCTTAAAAATGCCAGGCTTTTACATTTTCTTTGTACGTTTGTCACATTTGACTTAATTGTTGTACTTTAATTGATAAATGCCCCCTCCCCCACCAAAAGGCAATTTTGGCTTTGTCTAATGTGTGTGTCTTGGAGGAAAGCGGATCATCTGGTTATTCTACACTTTTTTTCCCAATCCCCCCATGCTCAGAGTTAAGGTTCAGAATGCTTACAGTCTTAGGTGGGGTTGGTGAAATGGGATTGTGTTTGTTGTAAGAAGGGTAGTATGCAGGTTGCCACTGAACTAAGGTACACTGTCAGTTATACGAAGGACAGATATGAATTGCTTGAGTTTGAGATTGGTTTCCATTGTAAATTCCTCAGTCATTTTAATCTGATCTAAAAAATGAAGGATTATGTGCAGTGTCACCTGATGTCTCATTATCTGGTACCTTTTTTTTTCTTTTTTTGCTCTGATCAGGGTAGTGTTCCTTTAGCATCAGTCGGAAAATATAACAATGTAGCATAATTTTGTATGACATTAATACAAAAATAAAGTATTTTATATAACAATACCTCACCTCTGGAAAGCGTGGGCAACATTGTAGCACTGGAATAATCCATGATCAGCATAAGTAACTTATCAGTGTAGACTCCATTGTTTGGAGTCTGACACACCAGAGCAAATTTCAGGCATGTCTGATGGTATTTGTTTGGTTATTTCATGCAATATGCATAGTTTAAATATTGGTACATTATATGGCCAAAAATTTACTGAAGGATTTCTGGGGACTTTTTCAATTTATTTTTTGTGAATTTGTTTTTTTAAAGTATGGATAAACACACAAAGCTTGCAAATAGTAAGGCATCTTATCAAGCAAATGCTTTTTTCTCACAGGTTTCATCTTAGGGGTTAGGATTTGTGGATTGAGATTGAAAGCCACTTCTTTGTGCAAGAGGGAAAAGCCTGATTATGGCAGCTTGTGCTCAGTGATTAAAGCTTCCAGAAAACTCGTGTGAAAGGAGTAAGTGAGAGCTTATCCATTAAGATACCGGCCTTGTCAAATAAACTGCAGTCAGGAAGTGATGCAAACGTTTCACTGACCAGAGGTGGAGCTAAGAGGTGACTGCTTGCTTTGTTTAAAGAAAAGAAGTCCACCAACGACAAGGGTGTGACCATCTATGCCCAAAATGCAGCTGTGGTCCACACCTTTTCATGGAAACCACCCAGTGATAGCTGAAGAATCAGGTGACTCATCTGAAACGTATATCGAACTGCATCTCCTGCTGGTGAGACCAGCAATATCTAACAGCATCTCCACAGTCTCCACCAATAAGAAAAGTGTTAGTTGGTTGTGTGGTTTCAAAAGTTTTTCCATCCCCTGTAGATGGAAAACGCTTCAAAATCCTTACACCCTTGTTTATGTCCCTGCTTTCAGCAAGACAGATTAGACCATCTCTAGCTGACCGCTGTGGTTTGAATGCAGGAAGTTGCCTTTAGAGTTTTCCTGTGCACCTGAAATACGCTCAGGGTTGCAGGCTAGTGGTCACCGGCTGATATTTGGACTACAGCTTGCTAGTAAACAATGCAGTGCGGGGCCCAATTCTCCTCAAACTGCTTGAAGTTTTTTCCAAATCTTTCTCTTGGAGCTGGCTGGTTCCTCTTTAGTGGAGGC